TTTGCTACCATGGAGTGTGAGGAGTTGATTCAAACAGTTCTGGATAGCTTTGAAAAACATTGGAAAAACTGTGACCAGGATGTCTATATTGCAGCTGTGGTCCTGAACCCTGTCCACAAGACAGCACCATTTGCAAAAATATCTCAGCTAAATCTTGCTGGGATATTTGCTCTGATCTGCAAACTCTGGACAAGGTTTTTTGGGTCATCACCTCCACATGAACTCTTCATGGAGTTGCAGGACTACCTTGGCAACAAAGGTACATATATGAATTTTGCAGCTTGGGTTGAAAATGTGCAACATGAAGCAGAAAAAAAGGCGTGGACTTTTACCATTTTTCCTACTAGTAAATTGATATTCCAGTTACTAACAATCAACTTTAATCAGCAGGAGCACCCTGACCCTCTTGCAATGTATGAAGGGATGCAATATGGTGGTGGTGAAAAGACTCCCCTGCAAAGAGTTGCATTTTGGCTATTTGCAATCTGTGCTAATTCAGTGTCATGTGAATGTCTGTTCAGCATGTTTGGGCTAACCCTCACCCACCTCCATTCCCAACTTTGTAGTGAGGTGATGACTTCACTTGCTGAACTATGGCTACACCTCTGGGATGAACATGCATGGAGTGGACAGGCAAAACACAGATTAAAGCTCCATGCTACAACATATTCAACTGGGCCAGGTCTGCAACATGCAGACTCAACTACTTCTCAGGCTGGAACAAGTTCTGCCTCTTTGGAACCACAACTGCAGCCATTGTCAACCCCTCAAAGCCAAGCTAACACTGACATTGTAGTTAACAGTGAGCCAGACAATGTGGAGCCAACTTCGGACCATATGGTGGCAGCCACAGCCACAGCAGCAGACTCACATTTGCATGACATGACATCCACAGAAATTGCCAGCTGTCTCATCACAAGTGCAAATGATGCTGGGCATGATGAAGAATCAATACTGTCATTTGAAAAGCTCAAGCTTTCAGAACTATTCAAGTTCTCTAGCCCACACTGGTCAGCAATTACAAAGACTGTGGCAATGCAAGGGCTGCAAGAAGAACTAGAGTTGTATGAGCTTGTGGAGTTAGATGCTGAAGGAGTGCCAGATGACGACCCTGGATTGGATAGTATGATGGCGGCAGTCATCTCACAAACATGAATATGTATTCCTTCTGTTTTCCATCTGCATATATTGTGTTGTACCAGTAGTAATTTAGCATAACACTGCAATTCAGCAGTGGGCACTGCCAGCCACTCGACCGTGAGAATATCCACACGTACATATGGCCGTGGCATTATGCAGGGCCACTGGCATGCCACTGACCTCGTCAACACTGTCTTGATGACAGCCCATCCCTCTGATGAGATATGGAGAGGTAGTAGTGATTGCAACCTGCACATTCACAATACTACATTAGAGTGAATGCCAGGTGCTGTTGTTGCAAGGCAGCAACAGAATGAAATAATGGGACTGTCTATTTTTGGACAGACCTACTGTAAAACTCAGCTCAGGACGTTGTCTTCGAGTTTTGTGACAGTACCCAGCAGAACACAAGCACACGCGAACTGCAGGCAGAACAGGCCTTTTGTTCTCTCTACTGACTTCGACCATCTTACCAGGCTAGAAAAATGACATCGGTATTGCTCGCTGGACTGCACATATACGTGCGACGAGCTCCACATTCAGCTTCGACGGCGGTGTCACTGTTGAGACACCACGGAAGGAGGCGTGCTATATCACACTCTGTCGTCAAAGGATACCCCACCAATGTCTTCAGTTTCCATCAAGACTCCGAGGGTGGCGAAGCTTTAGGCAGCACCCGGGTCAAACCCGAGCACGCCGTCATCTCTACCTTTGATCTCTTCAGCATTGGCGGTATGCATTGTTAGACGTTCGTTCTCGACCTACGTCATTGAAACTAACATCTTCAGTCGGACCAAGTAGCTCGCATACTGTCGGGCCCATGCGCGCTGGCAAGATATTCATCACTGACTTGCAAGAATTGGGATTACTGGATCGGGTAAGTGATCCATGGCTAATTAGGCTCGTCATCCCACCATTGACAACGCGTACCATTAGGTTCAAACGCTTAAGATAGTTCTGTGAGCTGAAATAACCGATCCATGCTAACGTTTCGCTGAGCTAGCCAACGCCGGTAGTTATGGCTCTCTCGCGGCAACTGGTAAGCCCATTTGCGTGGCTCAGAGCTCACCAATATCTGGCAATCCTCACCAGGGAAAGGGTACACCATATTTTTGTAGCAGTACGTGGACCAGCTAAGTGCCTATCCAGACACCATACACCCCAAGCCATTCTTCTCGGTTTGGAAGGCTCCGACCCGGAAACGATCGACTGCGGGACCATACCTTCACGTTATGAGGCCATTCTGACTAATAAATCGTTGCATCTCGGCGGAGATCGTCGCATTCATTTTGACATGGACAGGGATATGCTATGGAGGTGGGATGAGGTTCTCAAGACACATCCAAATGGCATGCGCTTCTCGTGTTTTGACGGAAATGGTGACCTTCTGGCAACCAACGAATATTTCAGGTAGGCTTGATGCGGATCTTTGTCTCTCCATGCCTCCGACGCTTGTCGTATAGCGTCGGCGGAGGCTTCGTAGTGAACGAAAAAACGAAAGGTCGGTGTTGACTACTTCGTGGGTAAATAAATGCCGACCTCGTTGCAGTGGACGAGAATTTATTCTACAAGGGGGTAGACAAGAGTGTAGTTCACGGTGCACGTCTGCACCAGACGCACCAAGCCGAACAGGGTGATCCTATCCATTCCTCCAAGGACGACGATCCAGGACATCCTCCCTACCCGTTCGATTCCGGGAACAGTTTACTTGCGATTACCAGGAAACACAATGTACGCGTAGAGGATCATTCGTCTGATACATAGCACCCATTGACAGGTGTTGACTTTCGTAGTTGACGATCGCTCAGATCGTGCATGATAACGAGCGCTACTTTGGGCTCTCCGAACAAGACATCCATGACAAGGTATGACTTAGCACTTTGTGAGGATTCGGTCTCGGTAACCTGACTGGTGCACTATAGCTTATGCGTATTTGGGCCGTTATGGACGACTGCATCCGCACAGGAGTGTCCACGACCGAAAGAACTCTTCCAGGTCGCCTCAAGCTTCGACGCCGCGCTCCGATGCTATACAGGCGTCTGATGCGAGGGTAAATTTCCCCATCTCCTCTTTTCCTAAGCTGATGTCGTTCTCACGAATGGTAAGATTCTACCCCGGTATCGGAATCCCAACGACCCACCTCATAGGCCCAAATTCATCCATGCCCGCTGGCGCCGTAGATGCACCTGAGGGGATGAAAACATCTCAGGACGTTGAAAACGGTAGTGTTTCCATGCCGCGCGATGGTAGATCTCGCGCCGCCATAGTAACGGGTTCCTTCGACCACGCCGTCCTTCCCATGCCTCCCGTAAGTCTCTGCTTCCAGTGAAGATTGTCGTCACTGATGCGGCCAGCAGCGCAGGACGAACATTCCAGCCGTCGATTTTCTCTCTTGCTATGCGATCGCTGTCAACGAAGTGAACGCTGCAGGTGGTCGCATCGTGACGTCCCCCACGAATGGAGCTGCTGGCGTCATCCCAGCTGTACTGAAATATATCGTCGAGTTTGTGAGCGACGATCCCGAGAGATCGATAAAGACGTTCCTCTTGACCGCCGGCGTGAGTTACTGTCTAGCATGCAGTCATCGCTTCCTGGGTAAAATCGGCCGTGACCGTCGGTGAGCTGACTTCGTGATGTCGTAGGCCGTCGGCATGCTCTTCAAACGTGGGAGTACGATATCAGCTGCAGAGGGAGGTTGTCAAGCCGAAGTCGGAGGTATGCGGTGGCTGCGTGCTTTCGTTCTCCTACCTTATCTCTCCGGCTCCACGTCGTTTTGCAGTTGCTTGTTCCATGGCTAGTGCCGGCTTTGCGGCGTGTATGGGCGCATCCCCAGAGACTGTTTTACAAGTCAGTGCCGTGATGTCGACTGATAACCAGCCACGATAGGCTAACGTGCTTTACAGGCGGCGGAAATAGGCATAGGTGTGTATTTTAGCGAGGACAGATCTGACTTTCCTCCGTTTCGCTCGCGCCTTTTTGTCTTCTGATTTAGTAACATGTCAGAACATAACCTTGGCCTTACTTGCGACCCCATTGACGGACTGGTCCAAGTGCCGTGCATTGTACGTGACGTTGCTCGTGCGCGAAGACGCGCTAACGTTAACATGGCACATTCTTTGACGTTACCTTAAAATCTTGCAGGAACGGAATAGCCTAGGAGGTATGTGAGCTTATGTGGACTTGTCTCTCCAAGGGTGTCACTTATTGGCTCCGTCACACTATGCACGCATTCGTGCTTTGACTCGTTCACATTTGGACGCCATCATTCGACGCTCGGGCGAGTGCATGTAGCTGTCAAAGCAATCACCGCTGCGCAACTTTCCATGGCTAGCGATGGGGTTTATCGTGTGACCCTCGATGAGGCAATCGAGGCGATGAGATTGACCGCCACCGATATGAGTGTCAAATATAAAGAGACAAGTCTTTCTGTGAGCTTTTTAAGTTTGAACAGGTGCTGTAGAACGGTGACTAATAAAAATGAAAAATAAAAATATGTAACTGATGTCGACAGGGCCTTGCTGTAAGTTATCCGTTCGCTTCCCTCGCTCGCCTAGCACCAGTTCATCAACACGTGGTTTCAGACGACGGTCAAGATTCCCTTAACCGTTCCGGCTTGCTGAGCTTACGGTCTCTTATTAGTTCTACGACGGAGTTGGTACATTTTGCAGGTGCTTTCGCAATTTTTCCTATTGCTGTCGTATAGTTTTGCCGCTGCCTCGATTTTTAGATCCAACCCACGTATAGAGTAATGATGGATTAGCATGTCGCTTTTTTTTGCTCTCGCATGTTTTCTGTTTACCGGTACTGTAGACGCCTGCTATTAATTTACACATCTTACGAAAAGTCCGAAGAAAAAGAAATGCCAGGACCGTGGATTGAACACGGGACCTCCAGAAGCCAAGTACCAACTTCAGTCTGTTGCTCTCCCAGCTGAGCTACCCCGGCGTTGACAATGGGTATGGGCATGTGCAACCAAAAACGGCGGTGCAGATCCCCCACGAAGGTGAAGTGGGCGTGACGACATAGAATGCGCTACATACAAGTACATTGAAGTGTATCTGCTGACTCAAGGGGGTATTTTTGAGATATGTATGTACCTAATTGGTATCGGATGGTAAGTGGACATTTAGTGGGTACTGCTCGATATCTGCCCAAGTCATCGCAGACCAAGTCGCCACCCTCGTCTTCGCAGCATGGTAATGAGCAAATGCCAAAGCGGTCTGTTTGGCACACTGCTTTGGTGAGATGCGACCGATGCCAGTGCCAATCCCCGTCATAACCACCGAGCGGATTGGGTGCAACCCAGGGTCTGTGGCAGCCCTAGCGTTATGATGATCTATCTCCACTAGCAACGACCACACGCAATTGTAAACGATTTCTTTATGCCACACCACCGAGCTTGGTAGGCGCATGGTGGGACAGAGTGCGACGTAACGACAGGAGAACGGGTTTCCTGCACAGAACGTTCCTAAGAGCGGGATGAGTGTGCACGTGCCAGGTGGTGCATATCCGCGCCACCGTTCGTAAATGACCCTCTGCGCGACGCGTGTCAAAGCGTCAGGGACTGTTGGAGGAGACAGTTGATCGGATAAGACCTGATCAAAGCTGATGTGGTGTCGATGTAGTGTGAGGAAGGAAACACAAAAATATCGGGATGTCCCACTCACCCGCCATCGAACCTCCCAAAGGAATTGGCAGGCGATACGATGCAATCAAAGGGGGGATGGAGATCAGAAATGCGACCGTGGAGGACAACCACTCGAGCCCGACACTCGGCGGGTACGAGCACTGTAAATGCCTCTCGCCACAGATCTACGAGTCCGGCGGACACGTCAAATAGGGTGAAATTGACTGCCATGAGAGAGTCTGCGGTAAAGATCCTGAGGCCATGATAAGTGATCAGCGTGCGCTTTTATGTTTGAGGATATTCGATAGGCGGGCACGCCAACTTGCACGTAGAAGTCCTCATATGTTGTCAACCTGAGGATGCTGGTGTTCCAGACCCGAATACAGTATGTAGTGTGGCTCCAAGGAAGTATTAATACTTGCAGTCCGGGGATATTTGAGTCACGTGCCACGATCGCCCGGCCCGCGACACTGGCCTGTTCACCTCGAGCACCCATGGAGAGACCCGCCCCTTCGACGTTTCAATTGCCCAGTTCACTCTCAAAGCATTATCATCCGTATTTCACTCCTGCAGAGGTGCAGTATCTTTCCGATAAGCAACGTGGAAAGCTTTCGGTTTCGCAGGAAGAAAAGGCAAGACAACAGGCGTGCGGATTCATAGAAGCTGTCGGTTCAAAGATCGGGTTGTGAGTACTATAGTGGGTGTCTCGTCTGCCATTGCCGCTCACGGCCAGCTATTGTCGCGTTAGTCCCCGGAGGACCATTGCAACAGCTCAGAATTTGTACCAACGCTTTCATTTATTCTTTCCAAGGAAAGACTTCCATTACCATGTCGGTGGGCTGTAATACCCGCTCGAGTTAGCTACTCACGAGACAACAGGACGTTTCACTTGCTGCACTGTACGTCTCGACGAAGATGCACGATACGCTCAAGAAACCTAGGGAGATACTAATGGTGGCTTACGCCGTCCGGTTCCCTGAGTTAGCTGCGAAATCGAAAACCATCGGTGGCGAAGTCGACATGGACCCGATGGTGAGTGGATGGCATCTTTTGAAGAAGCACGCGTTTGACCTTGTCCAGACGGTGGAACATGATCGCCAGCGGGTGCTCGCTGTCGAGAGATTGATTTTAGAGACCATCTGCTTCAACTTTACATCCAAGATGCCCTTCCCTTACGTTATCAAACTTGGTAGGAAGTTGGGAGGTAAGCTATGAATATCACCTTCCCGAAGGCCGATCGGAACAAATAAATATTTTTTCCAGCGTCTAAGAAACTCATCAAATTTGCATGGCGTCTAACTGTCGATAGGTGAGTGCCTTGAGAATCAGAAGCTTTCCCGTATGTATTGATTTATCATATAGTCATCGGACTCCCGTTCCCCTTATGTACCCTCCAAACACGGTTGCATTGGGATGTATCTACACAGCCGCTCTTCTATCAACGATAGAGCCTACGGCATCGTCCATTACGGATGACGAATCGGATCGGAAAGTGGCGAATTTATTGAAACAAAAGGGGGACTGGGAGGCCATGTACTTGGCGGAGGCCGAGGATTTGGAAGGTTAGCTCACAATCCACAGATGTGTTATCACCTTCTGCTGCTGTTTCTCACCACACTGATGCAGAGATTGCGCACATACTCATTGACTTGCTCATGCAAGCCGCCCAAAACCCCTCTGCGAATACTTCGCCAAGGACACCTTCCTCGCCTTCCCCACACCCATCTCCGCGAAATCAGCATTTTTCTTCGAGCGGCCTTCCGCACACTCCGCAAATACCGTACAAATCTGACCAATTGCTTCAATTGAAGATTGCAATGAGGGAGAACGAACATCCGCCTCGGCCGGATAGGCCCTTGAGTACTCCTGATTTGAGCGCAACGTATAGTGGGAATGACGTCGCTTTGCTTGGGAAAAACGAAGGAACGGTGAGGTTTCTGTTCGGACCCCCTGGTGTGGTGGGTCATGGGGTGTAGGGAACTTACCGTGGCAACTATGATGGAATCGTTCTTTTAGCAGTCAACATGATAGAGCACATTGATTCGTTGATAATTGTATTACGCACGTAAACATGGTCATTCCTGGTGTTTCATCTAGAAGTCACATCTACTATGGGCGTACCCAAACCGGAGCATCAACATCCGGGCCAGGTTGGTTCGACGCGGACCGTGAGTAAAGGGGCCAATTTCTTGTGAATGTACAATATGCGGTGCAGCGACGACTGCTCTTGGCTGCTGCAATCATGTCCGAGACATATCCTCCCGATCCCTTCGATGGAGAGCAGACAATGCTGATTCTTGTCGGTCTTGTCGCGTCGGGGAAAGTGGGTTATCCGATTCCATCAGTGACCCAGCTTCTCTGACGTACGGTATCTTCCTACTAGTCGACCTTCGCTGAAGCCCTCGAGAGGCACTTCCCAAGATTTCGCCGATGCAATCAAGACGACTTGGGTAATAGACGGCTTGTAGAGGAGCTCGCTCGTCAGACTCTACGGGAAGGCTTGTCTCCGTGCATCGACCGCACCAACTTCAATGCAGTGTAAGTCAGGCAGCCGCGAAAGGTATACGATAGGAGTGATTCTGACGACTACGTTATACTAGACAGCGCTCCTACTGGACGAATATCGCTCGTGCATTTCCCCCAACCACTATCAATGTTATTGTCTTTGATACTCCCTATCATGTAAGAAGTTCATGTCAAAAAGCCACAGCGTCGGTTGAATCTCGTAATTTGCAGGTCTGCGCTTCTCGTCTTCAGCACCGTACGTACACTAGTCCGCTCACTTTACGCCGGTTCATGGCGGTAATCTCATGACCCAGGAACATCACATCCCACAATCAAGGACCCCCGACATGGCATGTCCATCTTGGCAAACTTCGCCTCTGAATTTCAGCTTCCGTCTCCCGACGAAGGTTACGACAATATCCTTTATCTGAAACCTTCTGATCACCCGAGTCCGGACTACACTCGCGATGAGATTTTGTCAATACTAACCCGGCTTAGAGCGTCAGCCGGCGAGACAGGAATAGCCGTTCAGCCGCGCATGCCTTTTGGGACTAGGGGATCACATAGTGCCCCTCGCAGGGGCTCGACACGTGGTCGTCGGGGGTTACATGGTGACCGAGGCTCCTGGATACGATCAGGCCAGACGCGTGCATTTCACAGGCACACCTCGTTTTCCCCTTGCGGTACCAATCGTGAGGAGAGGCATGTTTCAGCTGCTGGGTCTCAAGAGACGGTCCCTCAGGGTCCATGGTCAGGTCATCGCGGCAACGGCGCCACGAACAGGGGTTGATCGTATCTGAAACTCGAAGGAATTCAGAGTGGGCCAGCCTTGGTGACGGCACTCCGGATGACTCCATGATCCATTCTATATCATGACTGTTTGGCTTTGTGAATTGCTGCACCTTCTTACGATCGTTCGCCTAATGAATGTTTGATTTTTTTTTCCTCCGTCAGTCACACAAGCGTGGGGCTGGTTGCGGTGTGAGTGAGAAGTACAATGACTAAGGCTATTAGCGAATTCCATGGTCCGAAAGCTGACGGCAACAACGTTGCTTTATCCTTTTCGGTGAAGACGTGCAGTTGCGCAATAAGCGTGGTGGAGACGGCGGTCTGCCACTCCCCACGTGTTCCGTGGGGAACAATCACTCAGGGGGGAATTTGGGATCATGATCCCGGTTTCCTCGGTAGGTCTAGTGATCCTTGCTGGTCTGCTTCTTGGGCCGCTTTGAATGTCTTGCCTAGAATTTTCGCGCTAACCTGAAAAGAGTCGAATATACAGCATCAGACTCATAACATCCTGATGGATGAAATAGATAGAAGTAACTGACGTTTCGGATGTGCATCGCCGCTCGCTCAACGCCGTTCTCTTCCGCGCGTTTGTAATAAGTCAATGCCTCTTCGAGCTGTCCAGCTGCCCACATCAAGATGAGATAATTTTAGAGACAATAAGCTTGATGACTCACTCGCTTCCAAAACCGCAGCGAGATTGAAGGCAATCTCAGGGTCCTCTGGAGCGAGTGATGCCGCAACGCTGGGAAACAATAATAAGCATCGCATATGGTAGGAACGGAGTGTTGGTACGTGCTGTAAGTGATGTAGTGCGAGGTCTGGTCGCGAGACAGGGGATATTATGTACGCGCTGGCGAGGTCTGAATGTGTGCTCGTGTCATATCTGCATCGAAGTCACAACAAATGAGTGCTTACTGGTGTGTACATCAGGGCTATCGGGTTGTAGTTCTATGGATTCTTTCCATGCCGCGATAGCCTCGTCAAACTCCTCTATGAGAATATGAAATTGGCATTGCTTGAATGT